AAAACAGCAACATCAGCAGAAATGGTTCGACAAGTAAAGAAGCGACTTGATCGAAACCCGCGTCGCACTGGCCGAAAAATGGCTTGTGAGCTTAACATATCGCAATATTCCATTCGGAAAATGAGATCGGGGTAAAGCCAAATTTCAAAAAGTGCAAAAACTTACACCGCAACAGAAAAAATAGACTCAAAAGAGCTAAAGAGTTGCTTCGCTTGGCCGAAAGGTGTGAACTGCCGAATTTGATTGTCTCCGGTGAGAAAACATTCGTTGTCCAGTAGTTTGGAAACAAACTAAATTATCGTGTTTACTTGCCAAAGAGATCAGCTGAAAATGTGCAACTTCGGCTGGCTACCAGAACTCAAGCGCCGGCCTTGATTATGGTGTGGACCGCTATAACAGCCAATGGTCGTTCTCCACTCGTATTAATCGACCGTGGCATCAGAATAAACGCCGAATATTATCGTGAACATATTCGGGAGGGTGTATTAAAGCCTTGGGCACGCAAACATTTTGGCCACAGACCTTGGACATTCCAATAGCACTCATCACCATCGCACTCAGCACGCGCCACCTAAGAATGGTTACAAAATGAGGTTCCTCGCTTCATTCCCAGCTCACAATGGCCACCAAAATCTCCGGATATCAATCCGTTGGACTACTTTGTCTGGAGAGTTTTGGAAAGCAAGGTTGGCACTAAAAATACCAAAGTGTGGTGGGTCAAAATACCGCAGAGCAACATCCGGGCAGCGTGTGACGGTTTCATTGGCCGTTTGAAGGCCATAATTCGGCCAAAGGTGACCAATTCGAACAAATCTAAACTTATTCTAATATTTGATGCTATTTTCTACATTTTTTGCTTTCATTTTTGCGTTTGACTTTGTTGCAGTTTTTTTATCTCATCCTGTATAGGTAGATTACATGAACTGGGTGCTAAATCAATTAAGTGAACATATATTGAAATTTTTCTTGAAAATCTTGTCTACTAAAAAACAAAAAGACTTCAGCTTTCGAAAACATCCAGAATTCTGATAATCATAAGTCGCCATTACATGACGGCTATACCTAAATGTGGTGCGATTTGTACAAGTTTAAATACCAACCCTCAATACAAATTGTTGAGTCAAATTACGTCTTAGAATTTTGAGGCGCATCATGAGCATACATATCAACATTATGGAGACTCTGATGAATATTTTAAGGTGTTACTAACGAAATGCAAGCTCCTATTAGTGGATATAAATTGGTGAAGATAGTAATTTTCCCATAAATTTCAGGGTTCATGACCTATCAATTCACTCGAGGACAAATTTAGTACCATTTAGTATTTTTCGAATAACTGCTGTACATATTTCCATACCCACCTCCAAATCTCAATTCAGATGCCAACGGTAATCTAAATATAAAATTTTAGAATTTTATCTCTCTCCCTTCATCCAATGCCAATTACAGAACACATTTTCAAAACCACCTCCATGTCTTAGCCACAGACACCGACAGTGACATGTATAACAAATTTCAGGATTTCAGATCTATTTCTTCACCCAATACCAAATTTAGTACTATTTAGTACGATTCGTATAATTATAGCACATAAGGCCATATCTCAATTTCAGATACTAACAGTGACCTTAATAACAAATTTCGGGATTCCAGCTCTCTCTCGCCACACCATACCCAAATTAGTACCATCTTACTTTACTTTTCGAACAATTATAGTAAACCACAGAGAAATCTCAAAATCAAATACCATCAGTAATCTAAATATCAAATTTCGGAATTCCCTTCACCTAATACCAAACATAGTACCATTCACGACTTTTCGTACAATTATGGTACGAATTTCCTAACTACCCTCCATTTTTTCATACCAAATTTCAAATTTTGAGCTGTATCCGTTCACAAAAAAAACCAAATAGTACAATTCTAGAACTTTAGTACCATTTTAAAACTTTTCGTAAACTTCGAATTTCCAAAAAAAACGTTTGTATATCAATCCTGCATTCCATCAGTGACTCTCATTGTAAATTACAGTACATTTACATTACATTTTAGTACTTTTCGTATCTGTTTATTACGAATTTCCAAAAAAAGGGTGCGTTTCAAATTATTTGTGTACTTGAAATGTTTACATTTATATTCTCCGTAGGTGGCATGCAATTGTAAAAGGACAAATCGAAAATTTTTTGCACTGAAAATTGCGTTCAAATACTTGGGGATCCCTGTAAATATTTTGCTATTTAGAAAATGTTTAACAGGCAGAAGCTGTTGTCCAGAACTCTCCTGTACTCCAATTCTTGCACATCAATTGCAGAAGGGACGTAAGCTTTGCTAAAGCCATGGTTAGCTTATGATGTTCACGCGATAGCTTGCTTCCACAAATGCAGGTGAAGAGCTTAAGCTTTCGCAAAGTTCGCAAAAATTTTGTCCGATGGTGTCGGTGCAATGTTTCCTGGCATTTTGCTACGTGGTCAATGATGAAGTGTCCAATTGCAGTAAAGGAGGTTTTTAACATCGTTTGCCGAGAAATTATTCCATTTAATTAAAATGATTATAATTATGGGGCGTATCTCGTTAATGGCAAATATGATTGTAATTACAGCTCCTCCTTTGGTATTAACCAATACTTGATCATTTGGAATAGCAGATATAGTTAATTATAAAAAACAAGCAAATTAAACCAAATAGAAACATATTAATTTTTAGCAGAGCTGTGAGCTACTCAATTTTACTCGTGAGTGAAAAATTCTCACGTGTGGCAGTGCTCAAAGATTGACATAGAAAAAAGAGTATCCTCGATTTATGTTTTGTACACGAAGGAGTACTCCGGATCTCGGAGCAGATATTACGGATTTGAGAATGAAGAGCCACTCCGGGAGGATCTCTATCTTCATCTTCCTTTAGCTGCCGTATGGGCAACCCGACAGACAGGCCATGAATAGTTGGATGTGATACCAACGTTCATTATATTAATGGGGTAGTACGATTATTTATCCCAGAGATGAGACCATTTTTGATTTTATTCTTAAACACAATCTCGAAATATATAACAAAGGAAATGAGACGACTTTTCAGAACAAAGACAGGGAGGAGGTCAATAATCTCACCCTTACAAACTTATATCGACCTTACTCCTCAACCTAGATTTGCATTATATTTTAATACTTTTCGTACTCTTATAGTGCGAAATTCAAAAAAAAAAAAAAACAATTTGGTTCATTCATCATACAGGGTGAGATGCAAAAACTGCCACCCACTACAGACTGCTGTCTTTTCTAAGCCACTCGTCCGACAACTGTTAAAATTATTCCAGTGACAGCTCATTATATTGTTTACAAGCGTATAAAAGCATTTTGGCATTTTTTCAGAAAAAAAAGTTATTCTTGATGGAATTCAAGCGTGATGGTGTGATTTCTTTATATTTGGCTGGGAAATCACAAGTGGCTATCGTTAGAGAACTCCAGCATTTAAATGTGAATAAATCTTTTGTGTCTCGTACCATCGCTCGTTACCGTGATACTGCTAGCGTAGCCCGACGGCAAGGAAGTGGACGGAAGAAAACAGCAACATCGGCAGAAATGAAGTTAAGAAGCGAAAAGTAAATATGCTACCTGCGTCGCAGTGGCCGAAAAATGGTCGTAAGCTGAACATATCGCAATATTCCATTCGGCAAATATTGAAAAATGAGCTCGGGGTAAAGCCATTGTTATTCCAAAAAGTGCAAAAAGTTACACCGCAACAGAAAGAAAATAGACTCAAAGGAGCTAAAGAGTTGCTTCGCTTGGCCGAAAGTGGTGAACTGCCGAATTTGGTTTTCTCCGAGTGGAAAACATTCATTGTCCAGCAGTTTATAAACAAACAAAATGATCGTGTTAACTTGCCAAAGAGGTCAGCTGAAAATGTGCACCTTCGGTTGGCCACCAGAAATCAAGCGCCTCCCATGGTGATGGTGTGGGCCGCCATAACAGCCGATGGTCGCTCTCCGCTCGCATTAATCGACCGTGGCATCAGAATAAATACCGAATATTATCGCGAAAATATTCTGGAGGGTGTATTAAAGCCTTCGACACGCAAACATTTTGGCCTCAGACCTTTGACATTCTAAGAGGACTCAGCACCATCGCACGCACTCAGCACGCGCCACCCAAGAATGGTTACAAAATGAGGTTCCTCGCTGTATTTCCAGCGCACAATGGCCACCAAAATCTCCGGATACCAATCCATTGGACTTTTGTGTCTTGAGTAATTTGGAAAGCAAGGTTGGCGCTCAAAAATACCAAAGTGTCGATCACCTCAAGCAAGCGCTTCGCCGGGAATGGGCCAAAATACCGCAGAGCAACATTCGGGCAGCGTGTGACGGTTTCATTGACCGTTTTAAGGCCATAATTCGTGCCAAAGGTGACCAATTCGAACATATCTAAACTTATTCTAAAATTGGATGCTATTTCCGACATTTCTTGCTTTCATTCAAAAAAATTAAAAAAAAATAAATAAAAATTATTGCCTTTGACTTTGTTGCAGTTTTTTATCTCTCCCTGTACACTCCGTCTCACTCGTCAAATATATATTTTTTGTTCCTTTTGGCGCTTTTCGTACCGTTCTAGTATGAATTTCCAAAAACCCAGCCTTATCTGACACATTTGGACCCAGCCGTTTCGTCTGGTCTTTGATGAATTGTTAAGTCAGCCATTCAATTACTTTACGCCATTATTAATATAGATTACACTGGGGATGTCAACGAAACTGGAAAAATGAAAGGGGATAGCACTGGGATGATCGCCGGGAAGACATCAAGGTCTCTCATACATAAGGGCCACGACGGAGAAGTTGTCATCCATATCTGCATTACTTCTAGTCCGATAAAAACTCATATTTTTTGTGATAGAGAAAGACAGAGTAACAAGTTTTTATTAAGTTTTTTTTTCTTTTTTTTTGACGCAGATATTTTGTTTTTGACAATAAAATTCTTTGTTATTTATTCAAGTGTGAAATTTTAAGGTTCTATTGTTGTCCTTTTTTGTTTAGGGAAGAAAATGTTGAAAAATATCTACTTGTGTACATGTTGCATTTATCTCGAAGTATATGGGAAAATGTGGTATGAGAATCATTGCAAATTAGATAGATAGAACAAATGAAGTTTTTCTCATTAGTTAATTGGTTGCATCAACCTCCTTCGAAATAATATCCTTCGAGGAGAATATTAATTTACAAATTCATTCAAAAGCATTGCAATCGTATAAATCGATTTTGTCAGCTGTAGAGCCGTATTCATGCTCAACGGCATTACACCACCAATTGTCATTGTCGGTGGACTTTGTGACTCCCTCAACATGATGAGTATCATTTTTTGTTCCGACACCGTGAGGTCATACCAAATGAAATCATATATGATGCTTGTTATATCATCAGTCTGAAAAAAGATCTAGATTTATTAAATGAAACAACACCTTCAATGATATTTTACTCAACTGAAATTTCCACCAAATTTCCAATGCCACAGTAAATGTAGAGAATCACAAACGAATACAACAAATAAACTGGAGCCACTGGCCAAACGCCCAAAAATATGCAAACAATTGTGAAAATAATATTCAACATCGAGGTGAAGATTTGAACAAAAATCACCCAGAAGAAGCCTTTCTGCATGGTCTCTATTATGCTGGGAAATGTAAAGAAGTAGAATAAATAGATGAGTTTGTGAATGAATGAATATAGTTGATACTCTTTTCTTGTTGGAGACTTTGCAGATAAATGAGAAAAAAATGGACTTATATTGGTATTACGGATATTCATTATTTCCAAGACTTGGTTCCGATAGTATTTAAGTAACCTGCCACAGGGGTTCAGTGCATTCGGTAATAACACAATCCTGGAAGTCTGCAAAATGCCACATGGTGTCTCTGCTGTCTAACAAACGGTTGGAATATAATTTTTAAAGTTCAGAAAGCAAACCGCGCAGTATCTTCTTCTTCTTCGCAGCAAATCACCCGACTATCTCCAAGCTATCAGCACACAGAATTCTTCCGAAAGAAGATAATACCGAATCGAATCAATTCCAACTTGATCCACGACATTTCACGAGTGAACCAAGCTCAAGTTGGTGTACAAATTGTATCCAGCCTTCAAGGTCGTCTACAGATTATCTAAAAATCACCTACCCCAATATCAAAATTCTAGCTATCTTAGCACTAAGTTCCCAATTATCTGCGAACGAATTCGGCAAGGCTATAAATCCAAAAATATAAAAGGAAGAATTCAGCTCTTCACATTCCTTATGGTTTCTTTGGCCCTTACAGGATAAGATGAAAAAACGGCAACCAACTTCAGACTGCTGTCATTTAAAAGCCACTCGTCCGACAGCTGTTAAAATTATTCGAGTGAAAGCTCATTATGTTGTTTATAAGCGTACAAAAGCATTTTGGTAAGAATTTTCCAGAAAAAAAGTTATTCGTGATGGAATTCAAGCGTGATAGTGTGATTTCTTTATATTTGGCTGGAAAACCAAAAGTGACTATCGTTAGAGCACTCCAGCATTTAAATGCGAATAAATCTTTTGTGTCTTGTACCATCGCTCGTTACCGTGATACGTACGATGATAGCGTAGCCCGACGTCAAGGAAGTGGAGGGAACAAAACAGCGACATAACCAGAAATGGTTGACAAAAGTAAAGAAGCGACTTGATCGAAATCCGCGTCGCAGTGGTCGAAAAATGGCTCGTGAGCTGAACATATCGCAAAATTCCATTCAGCAAATATTGAAAAATGAGCTCGGGTAAAGCCATTGAAATTCCAAAACGTGCAAGAACTTACAGTGCAACAGAAAGAAAATAGACTTAAAAGAGCTAAAGGGTTGCTTCGTTTGGCCGAAAGTGATGAACTGCCGAATTTGGTTTTCTCCGATGAGAAAACATTCGTTGTCCAGCAGTTTGTAAACAAATAAAATGATCGTGTTTACTTGCCAAAGAGGTCAGCGGAAAATGTGCACCTTCATTTGGCCACCATAACAGCCGATGGTCGCACTCCGCTCGTATTATCCTTGACATCAGAATAAATGCCGAATATTTTTGCGGAGGACGTATTAAAGCCTTGGGCACGCAAAAATTTTGGCCGCAGACCTTGGACATTCCAACAGGATTCAGCACCATTGCACTCAGCACGCGCCACCTAAGAATGGTACAAAATCAGGTTCCTCGCTTAATTTCCAGCGCACAATGGTCACCAAAATCTCCGGATACCAATCTGTTGGACGATTGTGTCTGGAGTATTTTCGAAAGCAAGGTTGGCACTAAAAAATATCAAAGTGTCGATCACCTCAAGCAAGCGCTTTGCCGGGAGTGTGCCAAAATAGCGCAGAGCAACATTCGGGCAGCGTGTGACGTTTTAATTGTCCGTTTGAAGGACATAATTCGTGTCAAAGATGGCCATTTCGAATTTGAATTCAAATCTAAACTTATTTTATAATTTGATGCTTTTTCCGACATTTTTGCTTTCATTCAATAAAATTGAAAATAAAGGTAAAAGTTATGGCGTTTAATGTTGTTGCAGTTTTTTATCTCACCCTGTAGATATACGGAAACAATGGAAAAATTCGGTTGAATGTGCAAAAATCCATCTAATTTGGGCTAATATTAAATATTTGATGCACAATAACCGTGAAATCGGATGAAGAGATCGGATGGAAGCTGTATCCAAATTTGAACCGAATTCGATAAAATTTGAGAGAGTTATCTCGTACCAAATATCATTGTTTAGGAATGCATATTCCGAATATGAGAGACTTTTACACCAAATCGGATGAAACATATATGTGTTAGCTATAGCTATATCTACTTCATTTGGGTTTATATTAACCATTTGGTGCACAATAAACCTGAAATCGGTTAAAGATATACATGGGAGCTATATCCAAATTTAAATCGATCTTGATAAAATTTCGCAGTGGTATTTACGGGGTATATCTAAAATCTGATTTCATATATCATTGTTGTGGAGTGCATATTACGAATGTAAGAAACTTAATCCCCGAATCGGATGGACATTATATATGGGAGCTATAGCTATATCTTAACCGACTTTCACCAAATTTGATACACTTGCTTCTACGCTGAGGATAGTATATGCCAAGGGAGGTATATGCCAAAATCTACTACATTTGGACTGAAATTAAACATTTGGTGCCCAATAATCCTGAAATCGGTTAAAGGTAATAGCTCCCATGTACATCTTTAACCGATTTCAGATTGAATCTGAGTCGATCTTGATGAAATTTGACGGATGTTATGGGGTATATCTGATTTTAAATATCATTGTTGTGGCGTGCATATTACGAATTTGAGAGACTTAAGCCCCTATAGAAATATCTGAACCGATTTTTACCAAAGCTGAAATACTTGCTTCTGGACCGAATTCGATTGGATGTGCCGAAATCCATTCCATTTGGACGAATATTACACATATGGCGCCCAATAGAATTGAAATCGGACGAAGGCGTGTATGGAAGTTATATTCAAATCTGATCCGATTTTCACGAATTTCAATAGGACTCGTCTTTGGTCCAAATAAATGATTTGTGGAAAATTTAATCTCAATCAGACAATAAATGCGACTTGTACTTTGTTTACAAATATACATGCACAGACGGACGGACATGCTTAAATCGACCCAGAATGCGATTCTATGAAGATGATCTATAGGAACTATGGGTCTACATATGGGTCTACACCCAATTATTCTTTTGTTAGAGATTCTTACAGTATGGTTTTTTGATGCCACTGGAAAATGTCCCTTAGCAGCGGTTCCGTCTTCTTGCGATTTCTGAGATGTAATTTCATCGTCTCAGCCATGTCATCAAATTTCAGCTTGAAAATATTTTTTATCATCGGCACATGGACAACGATTAGAATCATAAATGTGTCCGAGGCGAAATTGCCAAACGTGGAAAAAATGACACAGCAGATGTGATAAAACTGATATATGTAATTTTCGATACGGTTATTACTCGGATTTATACCCGGTATCATGAGCGGTATAACGTCGATTTTCTCCTTGCGAACATAGTAATAGAACAATGGCACCGCAAACAAGGCCGCTATCAAAATGAAGTTGATCAGCAGCAGGCCATAGATCAGACGTTTTACCATTTCAAGATTCTCCTTCAAGTTATCTCTGTATTCCAGACGCTTACATTCATATTCCTCGTATATGGCGGTGAGTTCCTCAAAGGCAAACCGAAGATGTTTTCCACAAAAAATTGCATTCAAGAGCTTGGTATACCCCTAAAAAAATTGATTTGATCTTTAGAAAATATTTGACCTTGTTGCCCTCGTTACCTCACCTGTACTCCAGTTCCTGTAATGCACAAAGATTGCAGAAGTATTGAGTAGTTATTTTGAATGGCCATGCCCACATAAATGGTATAGAAGGTGCAAACGAAAAACGATGTAACTACGCATATAACCAACCAGGTTACCCAGGTCACCCGATAGTCTCTTTCCAAGGAATTTACCCCACAAAATCCGGCAAAAAGTTTAATAACTTTTATGAATTTCGCAAAACGCTCCGATGGTGAAAGTTGAATGTTTCCTGCCATTTTTCTCGGCGGTCAACGAAGGAATGTTCAATTTATGCAATGGAGGATTTAAAGAAAAACTTAAGGCCTGGTGAGAAATTGTGCAATATTCCATTTATGGCGGATAATTAGGGGGCGTATCTCGGCATAAATTAGAAAATAAGATGGTAATTATAGCCCCTCAATTGGTAATTAAAAAAAATGCTAATCAGTAGAAATAGAAGATATGGTCAATTCGGAAAAAATGTAATTGAACCAAACAGGAACATATAAATTTATAGCAGAGCTTAAAATTGCACGATTATTTTCGTGAGTAAAAAAAATTCGCGAGTTTCATTGCTCGAAGAGTACGTGTATCGCAAAGGGTTTACTTTCCACTCTTTTGTTTAATATGGGAGCGCTCGTGAGCGTTCCGGTTTAAAAATATAAGGGCGGGAGTCAAAATGTACGAAAGAGAGTAAGTATTGACTCTATGAGTGAAATCGAGTGGAAACTTACTTGTTTTTGACTAATTGTGTATGTGTAAAAAACAGTTTTATGCCCTCCACCATACTATAGAGGGTATTTTAACATTGTCTTTCAGTTTTTAACTCCTCGAAATGCGGTTGAGACGAAAAAACCGAGATGAAAAATTCAGACTGCTGTCATTTCTAAGCCACTCGTCCGACAGCTCATTATATTGTTTACAAGCGTACAAAAGCATTTTGGTGAGAATTTTCCAGAAAAAAGTTATTCGAGGTTGAATTTAAGCGTGATAGAGTGATTTCTTTATATTTGGCTGGAAAACCACAAGTGGCTAACGTTAGTCAAGGAAGTGGACGAAGAAAACAGCAATATCAGCTGAAATGCTTCGAAAAGTGAAGAAGCGACTTGATCGAAACCCGCGTCGCACTGACAAGTATCACAATATTCCATTCGGCAAATATTGAAAAATAAGCTTGGGGAGAAGCCATTAAAATTCCAAAAAGTGCTACACCGCAACAGAAAGAAAATAGACCCAAACGAGCTATAGAGCTGCTTCGCTTGGCCAAAAGTGGTGAACTGCCGAATTTGGTTTTCTCCGATGAGAAAACATTTGTTGTCTAGCAGTTGGTAAACAAATAAAATTATCATGTTTACTTGCAAAAGAGGTCATCTTCGGTTGGCCACCAGAACTCAATCGCCGGCCAAGGTGATGGTGTGGGCCGCCATAACAGACGATGGTCGTATTAATCGACCGTGGCATCAGAATAAATGCCGAATATTATCGCGAAAATATTCTGGAGGATGTATTAAAGCCTTGGGCACGCAAACATTTTCGTCGCAGACCTTAAACAGTACTCAGCACCATCGCACTGAGCACGCGCCACTCAAGAATGGTTAAAAAATGATGTTCCTGGCTTCATTTCCAGCGCACAATGGCCAACAAAGTCTCCGGATACAAATCCGTTGGACTATTGTGTCTGGAGAATTTTGGAAAGCAAGGTTGGCACTAAAAAATACCAAAGTGTCGATCACCTCAAAAAAGCGCTTCGCCGGGAATGGGCCAGCATGTGACGGTTTCATTGGCCGTTTGAAGGCCATAATTCGTGGCAAAGGTGACCAATTCGAACAAATCAAACAAAATTTGATGCTATTTCCGACATTTGTTGCTTTCATTCGATAAAATTTAAAAAAAAAAATTAAATTATGGCGTTTGACTTTGTTGCAGTTCCTTTTATCTCACCCTGTAATCGTGTCGGATCCAAAAAAGTATATATATTTTAGATGAGGATAAAATTCTAAGTCGATCTAGCGATTTCGAACGAATTGGAATAGAAGGCTAAAATTGTGCACATGTGCGTATTTTGCCAGAAGGCATCAAAAATTGGCCATGTCGGTCCACGTTTTCGTATAGCCCTCATATAACGGTACCTCCCGATATTTGGTATTTTGGTGATATAAACAACATTTTTTCCGGAATTGTTTCAAGAGTCATATTTGAAATTCGTAATGAATGCTACAACCTATGACAGAAAATTGTCTATGCAAATCCACTCACTCATCCACAAACCCCTCACATATAACGGTACCTCCCTTTATTCCCTATTTTTTTATTATTATTTAGCCGGTATTTTTCGACGAAAATTTTTAAATTTTTTTCAAGTTCCTCCCAGATGGTGGAGGGTATTAAAAGTTTGGCCCGGCCGAACCTAGGTGCTTTTTTATGACTGCACATTCTTGGCAAAAATTGGTGACAGATCTGGAGATTGTTTGAAAATTCGTACGCAAAGAACTAAATATACTAAATTTGTATTGGGTCAAGGGATAGAGCTGAAATCCCGAAATTTGATATGGTTTTGGAAATTCGTACTATGAGCGTAGGGAAAGTGCAAAATTCCACAAATGTGCTGTTGGGTGTTGGGATAGATATGGAATTCTAAAATTTGGTATTAAGGTAACTGTTGATGTATAGGGTGGAGAGGAGGTGGTTTTGGACGTGCGTTGTAAACTGTACGAAGAGTAGAGTAATAAATGTGATATAGGGTCTTAAGATAGTGATAGAATTCTGAAATGTTATGAGGAGACTATTGTTGATATATGGTTTTGAGGGAAGGAAGTTCATTTGGGAATGCGTACTATATTTGTTCGAAAGGTATTAATTGCTAAAAAAAGAGGAGGTCAGATGAAAATCTGCACCTTCGATTGACCACCAGAACTCAAGCGCCGGCCATGGTGATGGTGTGAACCGCCATAACAGCCGATGGTCGCTCTCCGCTCCTATTATTCGACCGTGGCATCAGAATAAACGCCGAATATTATCGCGAAAATGTATTAAAGCCTTAGGCACGCAAACATTTTGGCCGCAGGACTCAGCACCATCGCACTCAACACGTGCCACCCAAGAATGGTTACAAAATGAGGTTCCTCGCTTCATTTCCAGCGCACAATGCCCACCAAAATCTACGGATACCAATCCGTTGGACAATTGTGTCTGGAGTATTTTGGAAAGCCAGGTTGGCACTAAAAAATGCGAAACTGTCGATCACCTCAAGAAAGCGCTTCGTCAGGAATGGGCCAAAATACCGCAGAGCAATATTCGGCCAGCTTGTGACGGTTTCATTATTATGGCATTTGACTTTGTTGCAGTTTTATTTATCACACCCTGTAGAACACTACCGATATATGGGAAATGACAAACGACAGAAAGAAAACGTGGTTCCTTGGAAAAATTGTAGTTTAAACGACTCTTCTATGAGAAGTCGAATTGAAAAAGCTACCGACTACATAACGGAAAAACAGTGAAAAAGTATCCGAATGATATGGCAATTCAGAGAAAGTCCGGGAAAAACAAGACAAAAGAGTCAGAAGCTCAAGAAGTTACCTAAATTTATCGACTTAGAAGTTTGGTCGAAAATATATTTAAAGAAAACCCTCCACCATTTGGAACGAATTTTCAAAAAATAAAATCCTTAAAAAATTATGTTAAAATTAAAAAAACAAACCGAATATAGCCGTTATATTGGGGTCTATACGACGTCGACCTGCATAGACAATTTTCTGTCACAGACTGTAGTTCCCATTACGAACTCTAAATACGTAATTTGAAACTACTTCGGTGAATAATGACGCTAAAATCATGAAACTACCGAATATCGGGAGGTACCGTTATATGGGGACTATACGAAACCGTGGACCTACATGACCCATTTACGAACTTAGCCTACTGACAAAAGAAACATTTGTGCAAAATTTTAGTCATCTGTCGAATTGAGATTCGTTCGAAAGATAGCGTGATTACAACAGACAGACAGACAGATAGACAGACGGACATTTGCTAAATCGATTTAGAATTTTACGCTGATCATGAATATATATATATTTTATTGGGTCTGACATGAGTATTTCGAGGAGTTACAAACGGAATGACAAAGTTAATATACCCTCCCTAGTATGGTGGAGGGTTTAAAAACACGTAGACTATAAAATAAAGTATGTGGAGCATTCAAAAATTCCTAAAAAGGTTTTTTTGTGGCTTGTGATTGGTCAGCAGGAAATGTCGAAAACAAATTTTTGAGTGCGTCTTTTCAGAATTGATTTCTGCTTTCCAAGAATTTTTCGAATAAGAAGCATAAACACTTAAATGCAATCTAATGTAATCAGATGTATACTACCCTTATCCTGAATTACCCGGAAGATATCTTCGATTGAATATGTTTACTATTTGTTCTTCTTTGAAGAAAAAAAAAAAACGATATTATAAGGCTGTCTGTCAAATGTGTCAGAACCTAATGACTAAGACCAGTTATGATTGTTGGTTGCTGTTGCACCATCGCCACCACCTGGTCATCGCAATGGTGGTAGTCTATTAAATGACGACAGTTAGGAATTTCATTTACACGAGCAAGACCGACAGCTACACTTGTTGTCCGTTGCTCGTTCTGCTGATAGCGGTAAAATATAACATACCAATGCAAATTATTTGCAAGCATTTTAAAAGCGATTATTGTTTAAACGCTTCGTAGGTATTAATTGATCGTTAACATGCGGCAGGCAGCATAAAATTGATGTATAATACCTGTTGGATAGTTGTGGCAGTAATGTGGGGCATCTAAGAAGAACTTTTGTATTTGCAGTTAAATTAAATGGAAAATATCGTTTATTTACTGGAAGAGTAGTCTTACTTTTGCTCCCTTCCAGAACCTGCAAGAATCTACTAGTTTTGCAATTTTTTCGATATCATAAAGGGAAAATCGGTTATTGTAGTAAAAAGTTTTACATTCCCGCAATTCTCGAATAGAACATTTTTCTATCAAATTTCTATATAGGTTCCGAAGGAATAGTCCAATATTGTCCATTTCGTATCGGACCTAAATTAATATGATATAAATATTGCGACGTGGCTGGTTTGGACTAAATCCTTCACTTAATATGAAATATGTGATAATTTTAAGAAAATGTTGAAATGTGCGTGAGGTACCAGATATAGTCGACCAAAGTATTCAATTTTCATAATTCATCTACTGCAGAAAAAAATACAAAAAAAATCGAACATTTATATGCAGTTTTATGCGATATCATA